CCCAGCACTTTGGGAGGCCAGGTGGGCAGATCATTTGAGCTCAGGAGTTCGAGATCAGCCTCGGCAACATGGCAAAACTCTGTCTCTTAAAGAAAAAGAAAAAATTAGTCAGGTGTGGTGGCTCACACCTGTGGGATGCTGAGGTGGAAGGATCACTTGAGCCAGGAGATCCAGGCTGCAGTGAGCCAAGATCACACCGCTGCACTCCAGCCTGGGCAAAAGAGTGAGACCCTGTCTCAAAAAAGAAAAAAAAATTGCAAAGCCCCAGCTCTGTCTTGTGGCTCCTGCCTTTTCTCCAACGTTGCTCTTCTCAATGCAAAACAACTGAAAGAAAGGAAACAGGAAAGGGCCAAACATGCCCTGGGTAAGGTAGGCAGTGCCCTGCCAAGAAGTGGGCAGGATGATCACACTGCTCTCCTGAGAACCCAGTCACCTGGCTACTCAGAACACTATGAAGAGAAAAAAATGAGCCTGAAAATAGGGCTTAATCAGTGGGAGATGACTTCTCATGAATGTGCAGAAAGTTATTTTCACCTCAACATTCCAAAGCCATAGCCTGAACGTTTTGGATGTTTATCACAACTGGGGCTTAAGAACTTTCTTCTTTCTGGAACAAAACCTCATCACTGAAAGTTTCACATCTTCCCAGATACCCGTCAGCCTTGTTTTTCATTTGTTTCAAGAAGTGCTGAGAAAGCTCTTTGTCACTTCCTTGTGGACTATTGGTATGTTTTCTTCCAGCCGTTGCAACTAATTTATCATAAGCAGGTCATCTCTGATGAGAATAAACTTAATTGCTCTGATGACTGAGCCGATAACTCAGTGGAACAGAGCTGGGCATCTTTCTCCAGCTCTTCGCATTCTTTTGCTGTTAACTAATGCTATTACCATTTCTGCATCTCCCTTGCTCCTTCCTGAGCCCTTTTGAAAAAAGTTCTCCATCACCTGAGATCTTCCTGCCTTCATTGTCATTTTTTTCTCCTCATGATGGCTGATTTGGGAGCTCACCTGTGTCATCAGACAGACTAGGAAGCCAACCTTGGCTGCTTCCAAATGAGGCAGACATAAGTCATTCTGAGTCTCTGGGACTCTCCTGGTTTGGGAATACCAAGAATGCCAGCCCAGGACAAAACTTTTTCAGAGTCTCTGAAGTTAGAGAGTGTAATGAAAGTTTCAGGACATGGTAACCTGTGGACCGTTTTAATAGGAAGATCATCAAGAAGGCACGAGGCCAGGTGCAGTGGATCAAGACCTGTAATCCCAGCAGTTTGGAAGGCTGAGGCAGGTGGATGAGGTTAGAAGTTCAAGACCAGCCTGGCCAACATGGTGGAACCCCGTCTTTACTAAAAGTATAAAAATTAGCCTGGCATGGTGGCTCATGCCTGAGGGACACAGCAAGACTCTGTCTCAAAAAAGCAAGCAGGCACTGCATCTCTGCAAGCAGAAGCCCACGGCACATACCTGCTCTGTTTTCCATCACAGAGTGGTGATTGCCACGTGCTGATTTGCAGCAGTTTCCCTGACTAGGCCTCCTGCTGACCTGTGTTAATGTATCAGTCGGGCAGTGAGTTCACCTGCCTGCCAGTGGAACCCAGGCCATGTGCTAGAGGCACCTTCCACAGCTGGCAGAGTGGACGGGCCATCAGCTGCACCCAGCTGGGTCACACTGCAGAGGGGAAGCCACCTTGGGGTCCCAAAGCCTGTGTGGTAGTTACTGGCAAGGATGAGATGGTGGCTTCCCAAACTGAACCTTAAGCTAGGGTTTAGAGCTAAGCCGGGTCATCTCATGGGCGGTCCATCTAACAAACACGTGTTGAGCACTTGTGCACAGGACACCTGCTCAGAGCTGGAGACAGAGGATGAGCCCCAATTCCTGCTGTGGGGAAAGCTATATTTTAGCTTCGGGCAAGAGTAAGGTCAATTTTGAGTAAGATGACCCTAGGGAGGGAAATGTAGCAAGAGTGAATTGCTTTTCTCTATATCGTGAGTGGTCAGAGATCTCAGAAAACAGGGCTGCTCCTGCATTTGGTGGTTAATCCTTCTGAGAGTCTCAGGAAGCCAGTAGTAATTAGATATATTCTTTCTATTACTTAAATTGAAACAACTAATTGAATCCTTAATTAATGTCTTTAAAATACCTTGGGATACAAAGTGCCAGAGAAGTTATTCTAAGTGCTAAATATGACTCTGAAGTCCCAGGGAACAGTGTGTGCCTGTGTTGCCTCTAGAATACGCAGGAAGACTCATGCTGCAGGGAAAAGTTATTTCAAATGCAACTGGAAAAATGTTCAGAGCATCTTCTTTGCCTTAGTTTTCCCCCATGTTTCCTTCTTGGTCTCTATTAAAACATTCATCCTTGATTTATTATCACCCTTGACCATGCCCTCAGTTTTTTAAGTTTTCTGGTGGGAAAAGTGTCTTGAGGCGAGACGTTGCTCCGTTCTGGACATCTGCAAAATATCTAGCTCATCAAGCCCAGGCTACAAGCAATAATGAAACTTCCCTTTCAGGAACGAATTTTCATCTTTAAAGACTTAGTTGCTATAAAAGAGCAGATAAAACCACCCTGGGGAGCAGCCAGGCCAACAGGAAGCTCCGCAAAACACCCACCTAATGTCCATGATCTAGGTCTCTGCTGCCCTTCAAGAAGCAACCAGAGCCAGGATGTTTTGAGGCAGCTACTTTCCACTTCAGAGTCCTTTTCTGTCCCCTTCTCACAGTGAATCAGGGAAGACATTTCTGACAGAGCACAGGAATTTAACAGCTGAAAGAATCGTTCAAAGAAGTTGCATCATTTAGGGATAGATTAAGGAGGCTTTCTCTTAAATTCCTGGGAGGTCCTCAGAAGTTTGTTTGGAAGATCTTGGTATTCTGAAAGAGTCAGAATTTTATTAGTCATTGTCTGGCTGGGTAATATATCTTAGATGCAAGCAGAGAGAGTATTTCACATCTGGGAAGATTTTTAGTGTCTTCTATTACACAGATGTTCACATCTGCAGACCCTTCCCTTATGTGGAATTGTTTTCCTTCCCTTTGATAAGTTTCTTGGCTCATCCTACAAATTCATTTGCAATAGCCTAAGCCAACTTGTGACAGATGTAAGCTCTCCAGAGACCACTATTTTTTATTTTGCCCACTTTATATTCATGTTTGAAAACATTAGTATTTACGTGAATGAATTCAGAGAATCTGTTTGGTAAAATGAATTTATTCATGTTAGTGGAGAGAAGACCACGTTATAGAATCTTTTAGAAACCTATAAATATATGTATAGATTTTTAAAAGTGATTGGAAAGCTAAAATCCAAAGAAAACCTTGCAGATTTCATTCTATAATGATTTAGCTTTCTGATGCTTGGTATGTTCCTCATTATCTTGGAGAACATCGTGATAGTTCAGAATATGCAGCATATAATCAACTCCATTGTAAAAAGAAAATGCAGCATAGTTTATCAGCCATGGGGATCCTCAGCCTGGCTGCATGCTGGTGAACCTGCAGAGCCTTCAAAAAGGCCAGTGCCTGGGCCTCACCCCAGAGTTCTGAATTCACTAATCTGTTTAGGGCCCAGGCAGCAGTGCCCAGGGTCCCCAGGGCACCGACTTTGAGAATTCCACATACACAGTAAATTGCTTTTTCTCCTGTTTAACAGGATCCTTTATCCCACCTAGAAAATTCCATCTAAAAGTAGCTGACTTTTTCTCTAGCTCAGAAGGTCAGTAGGTTCTCCACAGCTGCCCTGAAGGCAGGGATTGAGTCTCACAGAGACTTTGCCGAGGCTGCCAGAGGTGTGGGCTGGCGCCATGATGTGGTCCAATGGGTGTGGGCCTAGAATAATCCCCACGTCTGCCTTGTTAGAACCCTGGGCCTGGAGCCCAGAAACTTGATGGCATCCCTGCTCTGTAGTTTCTGAGTGATCATGGTTAATTATAGAAGCTTTCTGCGCTTAGGAGAGTAATGCCTTCCCAGACTTATGTGAGAAGGCATAAGAAGGTGCGTGAGAGTGGATTTTGTCACCTGGGCCTCACTAGGGAAGTGGCGAGCTTTGTTGTAGGCGTTGTGTTCCTCTAGGGATGACCCTAAATCCTGAGCCCGTCTCCTTAGTGACCCAGGCCCAGCCCTTGCATCAGCCTCGGCTCCCAAGGGGGAGTTTGAGGACAGAGGCCCCTGAACCCCAGGTGTGCCAGCCAAGACGGGGGTGGGGAAGGGGTGTCAATGATGCTGAGACATCCTTACTTTCTCTGGAACTATCAGTGTGAGGAACACTGTCTGACTATGGAATTCACCTTAAAACACTGGCTGAAGTGAGTATTTGAACTGTTACTGCAGAATGCGGCTGTCTTCTCTTTTTTTTTTTTTTTTTGGTGGGGGGAACAGAGTATGGAGTGTGGTGGCATGATCTTGGCTCACTGCAACCTCCACATCCCAGGTTCAAGCAATTCTTATGCCTCAGCCTCCCAAGTTGTTGGGATTACAGGCACGCACCACCATGCCCAGCTAATTTTTGTAATTTTTTTCTTTTCTTTTTTTTTTTTCTTTTTCAGTAGAGACGGGGTTTTGCCATGTTGGCCAGGCTGCTCTGGAACTTCTGGCATCAAGTGATCTGCCTGCCTTGGTCTCCCAAAGTGCTGAGATTACAGGCGTGAGCCACCGTGCCCGGCCTGTCTTCCCATTTTGTCGACTGTTTTTCCCATCATAATAAGCCATAGGGCTAGTGGAAGTGAGAGGCAGTGCTGAATACTGCTGACCAGCATGGACTCAAATCCCAGCTCTAGCAAGCTTTTTGGTCTTGCACAAGTTACGTCCCCCTGTGCCTCAGTTTCCTTATTGTGCAATGGGAATAATAGTATGGCCTAACTCATCCAGTTGTAAGAATGAAATCAGTTAATATACTGTACATAAGCCCTGGGGGCAGTGCTTGGCTTAGAGCTAAGCCAGCTAGGGGCTGGCTGCTGTCACCAGATGGGGCTAACCTATGTGTCCTCCTCTTTCCAACCCCCCAGTGCCTAGCCCCTCCTGTAACGGTTTTGACAACACCCTTTCAAGACCTTGCCGGGTGCCACTAGGAAAGGAGGTTTGCTTCATTGCCACTGTTCGTCTGGCAACACCGCAATTCTTAAAGGCAAGTACCTGAGAGGCACCTCTGCGGAGCTGTTGTGATTGAGTCACATTTTGTTACATGTAGTTAATGGTCTTTTGGGAGAGAATAAATTTCAGTGAAGTTGTCACTGGCTTTGAAAATCGAAGTGTCTGGCTTCCATGCCTGCAAACACGCCCTTTCCCCTACCCCGTTTCTGCAAGCTGTTTTGTTTGAAGACAACATCCCTTGCTGTTCAGCCTGCAGAGGTGCTGTTCGATAAATGTAAATCTTCCTACCTTTCACACCGGCGTTAATACCATTCAGGGCAGGCCTGGGTGAGAACCAAGTGTCGGAGTGTTGGGGGTTTGTCTGCCTTCTCTCATCTGTGATTGCTTCAATGTCTACGGCATGAATGTTGAGTTAAATGAGTAATTCAGATTCAGATGAAAAGCCATTTTCCACATGTTTACCACACTTCTCGATAATGGGAAGGGATGGTGTGACATTTTGGCTCCTAGGTATTTTTCCCCAGCTTGTGAAATACATTTAGTATCAGCTAATACCGAAATTAGCTACAGATGATGAGTTTCAGTCCAACACAACTTGGAGACTTGCTCGAAATGATTTTAACTTCTGTTACCCACCATGCGTTCCTCTTGAACAAACCTAGGGTGAGCATCTGGCACCCAAGCAACTTTTTTTTTTTCTGCTTCCAATACAGGAAATGTGCATAGTTGACGAACCTTTAGAGGAATTCACTTCAAGGCATAGCTTGGAATGGAAATTTTTATTTCTGGATCACAGGTTTGTGAAAAGAAAAACATATTTGGGTTGGGCCCTTCTCAAGTCTTGTTTGCGTGAGCCAGGCTCTCCTTGGGAGAGGTGAGTCGGCCCTGGCCCATTGAAGGAGAAGGACTGTCTCCCTGCCAAGGGTGGGTGGTTTCTCTCCGACTACATCTGCTGCATCGTGAATATGTTCTGTGTTTGGGTCAGATGCCTCAGCCCCGGGGCATCTTTGGGATGATCCTTACTTGGGGCCCTTCCCAGCTCCCAGTAAGGCAGCAGCAAATATGAGAGAAATCTCTCATCTCATTGTTTTCAACATCCTTTGATCCTTTAGCCTAATCTTTATTTTTTCCTTTGTAACATTATTTTCAGGTGAAGAACTCCAAATCCCCCCACCCCACCCTTTCATTTTGTATTATGCTTTGGGGTTAGGCTGACCCGATCTGTAGCTGGTTTTAATTACCCAGTAGCGATAAAGCTTATTGTTATTCTGGCCAAGCTATGCCAAGGGAAAGGAGTACCTACTGCCAAAAAAAAAAGTTGAGTCCTTTAGAAAACACAGCCTCTGTGTTTTAGACCATTGCAAAGTTATTTTTCTCGCCTTGTTCTTGAGAAATGAGGCCTCCATGTTGATCATGAAACGTGCAGTCCTGTTCATGGCAAGGTATGGCCACCAGGGTGAGCCCTGCAGTGTGTCACCTCCCTGATGACAAGTCCCCCCTGTCCTTGTGCAGAGCGCCTCCAATCATAGGATACCTGCCTTTTGAAGTGCTGGGAACCTCGGGCTATGACTACTACCACATCGATGACCTGGAGCTCCTGGCCAGGTGCCACCAGCACCGTGAGTACCACTGCCCAGCCCAGGCGTGGGGGCCTTGCACTCCATAGGGGCCCGGACAGCAGTGCTCTGGGACTCCAGAAGTCTCTGCTCGTTACCTGGTTTCTTTTTAAGGTGGGGAACTTGGTGTTCTCTGAGATGATCTGGGGGCATGGTGGAGGCCCTCATCGGCATTTATCCCCATGTCAGGTTTTCACCTGGAATTAACTTGGCCCCAAACCCCAGCACCTTCCCACTACCATCCAGACAAGCGCCCTGTTTAAACCTAATTAAGAAACTAAGGTGATGCAGGGATTTTTGTTTAAGTTATGCCATACATTTCAGACATAAAATACCGAATTCTCATGACTGTTTTTTCATCAGCAGATGTGTATTGGTCACTAGCCATAGGCCAGATACTGAGTAGGCTGGCATATGGGGATGATCAGTACCTGCTTGCTGTCCTGCAGGGCAGGTCTGCTGGGAAAGCCAGAAATGGGTGACTTTGTAGAATGTTGTCGATGCATCGAAGGGGATGTACACAGCATATTGGGGGGGCTCCAGAGGACCCTCACCACTGGTGGGGGTCAAGGAAGGCTCTTTGCCACAGAAGAGGGAAGCACATTAGCAGATATATGGGGGATAGGACTTATGATGTGGGGAGTAAGAATTACAAGTTTGTCCAAGTTCTCACTTAGCAAGTGGCTTTAGGAACTAACCACTGGAAGCTGTATTTTCAGTGCCAACTCTTAACTTTGAACAGGAACATCGACCTATTGATCTGATGTATGAATTGACCACTAACATTGTGCTTTAAAAGATGCCTCACCTTTAGTACCCATTAGAAATTTTTTTTTTTTTTTGAGACAGATTCTCTCTCCATCACCCAGGCTGGAGTGCAGTGGCACAATTTTGGCACACTGCAACCTTCGCCGCCCAGGTTCAAGCGATTATCCCGCCTCAGCCTCCCGAGTAGCTGGGATTACAGGCGTATGCCACCATGCCCAGCTGATTTGTGTATTTTTGGTAGAGATAGGGTTTCACCATGTTGGCCAGGCTGTTCTCAAACTCCTGACCTCAAGTGATCTGCCCTCCTCGGCCTCCCAAAATGCTTGCATTACAGGCATGGCCACCGTGCCCGGCCAGAACTTTCTCTTCTATGGAGAGGGAATGAAGAATAGGCTTGAGTTCCATCTGGATCGCCTGTTAGAATTTAAAGCTAATCATTAAAACTTTAATTGCCCCTCAAAGCATGGTCTAGGACCAGATGGGTAGGCATCACAGAAGTTTGCTACACTTGTAGAATCAGGCCTACTCAATCAGGGTATCTATATTTACAAGATCCCCAAGTGAAGAAGTATTCAGCATTTGAAAGGCTTCTCCGTGGCTTGGGCAAGACGTCCTTGCTCTACAGAGCCCACCCCTCAATCTGCTGGGTTTTTTCCCTCTTCAGATAATCACATTCTCTAGGTCAGTGTCCTTTTGTAGCATCAGTTTCCTGGTTGAGATTTCTCTTAGCCGTTTACCTGAGGAGGTGGTAAATTCCAGGCACTACGGCAATAAAACCCCAATTGTTCTTCCTTGGATCCGTAGTCCTTCTTTCTGCCCTGCTCAGGCTGATACACCATCAGCATCCATCCTGCTCTGGACATCCCTAGAGAAGCCACCAGCAGACATCACTGTCGGGGGGACTCCAAGCGGCTGTGGGGAAGGAGGAAGCCTGGGGTGGAGGCATCTGTCCCTGACTCTTTATTTGAGAACTGTGTAAGCTGAGCATGAACTGCTGACTGACAGTCACAGAATCCATCCAGAGGTTGCTGGCTGGCAGGTCTGTTTTCGGGCCAATTCTGGATGCTCTCTCCTGAGCTCCTGCAGCTCCAAAGACAGCTCCATCTGCAGCAGGAAGATGGGTACCAGGCAAACCTGGGTCTCTTTTTGATTCAACCTGCAGTTTGAAAATCCGTCTGCATCTGCCCTTATTTGAGGATCGCTTTAAGCTTCTGAGCATTTGGGAAAGTATATGGATCATTCTTCTACTGTTTAAGAATTCATGACAGCGTGCCGTTATCCTGATAGTCACTTAAAATATGGGGCAACCGGGGAAATAAGCCATGTTTGGTATTGAAAGCTGAACAGTAACTATTGGGGAAAAGATCAGTTTCATATTAACATTTGTTATATGCAGTGTCTATTTTCTACTCACAGTGATGCAGTTTGGCAAAGGGAAGTCGTGTTGCTACCGGTTTCTGACCAAAGGTCAGCAGTGGATTTGGCTGCAGACTCACTACTACATCACCTACCATCAGTGGAACTCCAAGCCCGAGTTCATCGTGTGCACACACTCAGTGGTCAGGTACCGTGCATGGGAGGGGCGCGACTCCGTCCTTGTTTCACCTTGGAGGGGTACAGGGTGGCCCCTGATGGCCAAGTCAGATCAGCAGTCACTCAGGTGTTCCTCATTTTGAGGATCAAGCCCAGGCCATCCCCTGCTGCTAACAGCACAATTCCCAGAGTTCAGCTCGCTTCCAGGCCCCACTGGCTCTGCCCTCCCAGGGCTGAGACTCCTTTCAAGCTCTCAGTCAGGCCCCTTTGAACGCCTCATGGACTCTCGCAGGCTGCCAGGATATTACTTAGTAAGTGACTGCTTCACTGACCTACTTACATATTTTCCCATCTCCATCCGACCCACAGCCTTCCCTTGTCGCTGCTTTGAGCAGAAAATTTAAATTTTGCCTCTAAATAACTCAAACACATATTCCCCTTTATTTTTAATGCTTTAAAAACCCCTGCTGGCAACGGAAGCAGTGTTGGGAAAACAGCCTTGCTGCCAGTGGGCGCAGGTTCCCAGTAGGTCCCTGTTGGCCTCAGGGAGCCGTCCACCCAGGGGCGGTGAGCAGGACTTCAAAGAGATGCCGTATGTCCAGGGTTTCATAGACGCCGCATTTGTGGGGTCACAGCTCCCAAGGATGAAGAAGAAAATGGTCCTCTCCCCTACTACAGAAATTTTAAGAATGTAAATTAGTTTTAAGCTGCCTACAGAAGAGCCTTGGAGAAGGGCAAAGAAAGAAATGTTGAAAGGACAGCACTTCTTTCTTTTTTATTTCTTTTTTTTTACTTTAAGTTCTGGGATACATGTGCAGAACATGCAGGTTTGTTACATAGGTTTACCTGTGCCAGGGTGGTTTGCTGCACCTATCAACATGTCATCTAGGTTTTAACCCTACATGCATTAGGTATTTCTCCTAATGCTCTCCCTCCCCTTGCTCCCACCCCCAACAGGCCCTGGTGTGTGATAGTCCCCTCCCTCTGTCCATGTGTTCTCATTGTTCAGCTGCCACCTATGACTGAGAACATGTGGTGTTTGGTTCTCTGTACCTGCGTTGGTTTGCTGAAAATGATGCCTTCCAGCTTCATCCACGTCCCTGCAAAGGACATGAACTCAGTCTTTTCTTTTTTCTTTTTTTTTTTTTTTTTTGAGACGGAGTTTCGCTCTT